TTTATCCAAATCTGTTTCGAAAGAAGAAAAATCATCTTCATCTGAGGCGGAGTAAAAAAAGGCGGGGCATAGAGGAGAAACAATAATGTACAGTATGTGGAAAATAATGTGTTTTTTTAACTTTAAACCGCATAAACACATTTCATTACACCAAATACACAAAATAATGTTCTTTTTAGCAGCATCATATGACCCCTTTAAGATAAATATCCAGTCATACTCCAATAAAACAAAACATTTTTACAAGACACTGCTATGAATACAACCAATTCATTCACAAGAGATTCTTTGGGATCTCAAATCTGTATGTCTGCATGTCCGCAGCGCAGATTATTTGTCCTCCTTAAAAAAAGCTAGCAGTTCATTTTCCTCATAGAAATTAATAACAGTGGTAACCGGGATTTGTTTTTCTCCATGCACAGCAGATGATGCTTTGCAGACTATTTCTAAATGGAAACTCTTTCTCTTATTCACAGTGTTGCTTAATACCACCACATACCGGAGAGTCTGTAATTCAGTTATCAATGTTTTCACAGAACGGGCAGCTAAACTGGTAGAGCAGCAAGAACGGGAGAGGGTCCTTCAGCAGCAACAGCAGCAGCAGCAGCAGGCTTCCCCAAGAGCAGGTACTCCAGTCGGCTCAATGATGGGGGTGGTACCTCCTCCAAGCACTATGGGGATGCTAAACCAGGCCATGCCACCTGTGCCAGGTAACGCCAAATCGCCCCCACCCTTGCTGAAAGAGACAGATGCAGCATCCGGGCACCCTCCGACAATCTATTGAAACCATCTAAAACCTCAACTCATCAATCATGTCTCTATCTTCCCCGTACCAAAAGTGTGCCCCATTAGTGATGATTCCGTTCATTTCACTAAATGCCTTTTGTTTGTATGCAAACTTTTTGGTCTTGTCTTGTGTTTTTGAATATTGCCACATTCTTTATTTCACATTTACCATGTTCTTTTTGCATGACAATTTTTTTTATTTTTAACCCGTTAATATGTAGAGCTCTTTTTTTAACATGCCTGGATTAACCATGTTTAAAAATGCACACTTTCTTTGACATTGATATGACTGTTATTTTGTAGTTGCATGACTTGTTAGACAACTGCATGTCATCAATGCATGGATCTTTTTGTGCTATCTCCTCCTCACCCAAGGCATGATGGGAAATTATGGCCCGCCCTACATGTCTATGCAGGGTCCTTCTGAGGGCATGATGGGCATGGGTGGCACACCACCTCATCCCATGGGGGTGCCCCAGCTGCCTTCCCAGCACTACCTTCTGCCAGGCATGGCCGGGTACCCTGGTATGCCCCATCTGGGTAAGAAGCACCCCGATCAGACAGAAACCACACCTGAAGATCTTCTGACCAGCTCCAATCCAAATGAGGAAAAAATAGGAAATCTGTTTTTTTTTGTTTTTTTTTCTTGGTTTGAAATCATGGCTTTGTTTCAAAATCTAGTGTTCTGCCTGGACAGCAAGGCAGCTTATTTGGTTTTGAAACACAGTCTTTTGTTTGTACATTGTTTTAGTGAATGAAGAAATGCTTTTTATCACTAGATATTATCTGTATTTCTGCATGGTCTAATTTTAGTTGTATCTAATTCATAGGGTGGGAATATTCACACAGCACCACTAACATGCTAATGTTTTCTTTTTCCTTAATGTCTCACCTCACACTTTCTTAATCTAATTTCTACACATGATTTGTCACCTCCACTTTTCCACGGACTGAATGCACTGAATCGTTGTTTTATACAAACACCATTTGCTTCGGGAAAATGTAAATCATAGAAACAATATTTATTTATTCAATCAGTACAGATTATTTGCAGCCTTATTTATTGGTGATAAGATTTAAACTTAAATCAAGATTTAAACTATTTTTGCTTTCCTACTCAGGTGTGATGGGCCCAGGAATGAACGGCATGGCTGGAAGTCCTGGTACTGGAAACCATTATGGCATGCAGGTGAAGCACATATTCATGCAGCTTTCAGTAGTGATGCTAAAGCAGAAGCAGATTGTCATCTCTGTCTTTACTTTTCTCTTTCTTTGTCCTCTCAGATGGGTGGATATGGGCCAGGACAAGCTCCACCACCATATCCAGGTCAAGGTCAACCAGGCCAGCAGCAGCCAGCTCCGCCTATTTTTGTTGCCCCACCTCCAAAACCTCAGCGTCTTCTGCATTCAGAAGCTTATTTGAAGTACATTGAGGGCCTCAGTGCTGAATCCTCCACTATTAGCAAGTGGGACCAGAGCCTTAAGGGTAAAGATGATTTGCATGTGCATTGCATATGAGAGTTGTTTTATGTATTCCTTTTGAAGTTATATACAGTTACACTACTGTTCAGAAGTTTGAGGTCAGTAAGATTTGTCTTAATTTGACCCAAATTAATACTTTTATTCAGCAAGGATGCATTAGATTGATCAAAAGTGACAGTAAAGACATAATAATATAAAAAGTTTTCTGTTTAAAATAAATGCTGCTCTTTTGAACTTGAAAAAAATGTATCATGGTTTTTAAGAAAATATTAAACAGCACAGATGTTTTCAACATTGATCATAGTAAGAAATGCTTCTTGAGCACAAAATCAGCACATTAGAATGATTTCTGAAGGATCATGTGACACTGAAGACTGGAGTAATGGCTGCTGAGAATTTAGCTTTGCCCTCAGAGTAACAAATTACATTTTAAAATATGTTGAATTAGAAAATGGTTATTTTAAATTGTAATAATATTTTACAGTATTACTGTTTTTACTGTATGTTTTATCAAATAAATGCAGCCTTGGTGAATTAAGAGACTTCTTTCAAAAACATAAAAAAATGTTACCGACACCATACTTTTGAATAGTAGTGTTTACTAAATAATTGCAAAATTATTTTTATTGTTAAAGCAATTGTTTTATGATATTTCCTTATACCACACTTTTTTAGCACTTTTACTTATATAATGTTATATAGAGTGTATGGTATAACACAATGTTATACATGGTGTCTTGCACCAAAAACATTCATAATTTATTCATTTAAATGATTGTTTTTGTTAAAATGGCTGTACCGTGAAGTATTCTGTATGTAAATGACTTCTGTGATGTTACAGCCAAAACCATCTTTTTCAATCGTTTTAGTGGCCTTGTCCCAAATCATACATGTTTTAACAATGTTTTCTTTCTAATTTTCATTCCTTCAGCACAAAGAAAAGACTGTCGGCTCACCAGGGAGCAGGAGAGCCGTCTCCCTACTCACTGGCTGAAAAGCAAGGGCGCTCACACCACGATGGCCGACGCATTATGGCGACTCCGAGACCTGATGATGAAAGACACGTTCAATATCCGACAGGCATACAACCTTTAAACCTTTGTTTTATTCCCAACTCTCAGGACTCTAATTTATGCAATCCTTCTCCTACCAAATCTTTCCTATCACAGTGTGATAAAGTATTATGTACTGTTGGAAATGCTTCAGCAATAATCTCCTAGTTGTGTGTGCGCATATGTGTGTGTGTGTGTGAAATAAAGGTTTTAGCCACATTTAGGTACGTAAGACGCACTGGAATTAAGTCAATCATGCATCAATTTATAACTACTGACATAGATTTGAAATGTCACTTTGGCTGTTACTTTAGATGGATTTTGGTTGAGTTTGATGTTTATCCACATCATTTTTATTATGCTTAATACATCACCTGTGGCACCTGACAATGGCATCACCAATCCTCACAAAGTTCTCTGGCTATGGCCACTCTTTACAAAAAGACTTCAAATGGGCAAAGTTTTAAAAGAACACAGTAGCATTTTATAAATATATTTTCCTTTTTATACAGAGGCAAAATAAGCCGAGTTCTTCTTAATTTTAATGATACTGTAATTTTCATTGTGTACATACAAAAAAAAAAAAGCCTGTAAGAAATGCTTAAACACAGTTGCATTAAAAATAACAAAATTGACTCAATTTCACCAATAAACAGCATTTCAAAAGGATAAAGTGTACTTCAAGTATGTCCAAAACATGTTTGTGAGAGGATTGGGTTACCAGCCCCTCCACCCACCACTACTGTAACATAAGGCCCGCCTAACCAGGCCACAAACCTCTGCAGATTATGTTTAAATTCGACTAATTAAAAAGTTGAATAGTAATTTAATGTAGCAATCAATTACTAAAACCCTTTTTTCCTCGTTTTTACCCCACAAATGACTGGCGTGATGTCATTTCCGAGACCTGATGATGAAAGACACGTTCAATATCCGACAGGCATACAACCTTTAAACCTTTGTTTTATTCCCAACTCTCAGGACTCTAATTTATGCAATCCTTCTCCTACCAAATCTTTCCTATCACAGTGTGATAAAGTATTATGTACTGTTGGAAATGCTTCAGCAATAATCTCCTAGTTGTGTGTGCGCATATGTGTGTGTGTGAGAAATAAAGGTTTTAGCCACATTTAGGTACGTAAGACGCACTGGAATTAAGTCAATCATGCATCAATTTATAACTACTGACATAGATTTGAAATGTCACTTTGGCTGTTACTTTAGATGGATTTTGGTTGAGTTTGATGTTTATCCACATCATTTTTATTATGCTTAATACATCACCTGTGGCACCTGACAATGGCATCACCAATCCTCACAAAGTTCTCTGGCTATGGCCACTCTTTACAAAAAGACTTCAAGTGGGCAAAGTTTTAAAAGAACACAGTAGCATTTTATAAATATATTTTCCTTTTTATACAGAGGCAAAATAAGCTGAGTTCTTCTTAATTTTAATGATACTGTAATTTTCATTGTGTACATACAAAAAAATAAAAAAAGCCTGTAAGAAATGCTTAAACACAGTTGCATTAAAAATAACAAAATTGTCTCAATTTCACCAATAAACAGCATTTCAAAAGGATAAAGTGTGCTTCAAGTATGTCCAAAACATGTTTGTGAGAGGATTGGGTTACCAGCCCCTCCACCACCACTACTGTAACATAAGGCCCGCCTAACCAGGCCACAAACCTCTGCAGATTATGTTTAAATTCGACTAATTAAAAAGTTGAATAGTAATTTAATGTAGCAATCAATTACTAAAACCCTTTTTTCCTCGTTTTTACCCCACAAATGACTGGCGTGATGTCATTTCCTGGCAGGAGCGGAAAATATCGGGCTATTCTCTTTAGTGTTTGCCCTGTCTACACTCACCCTCTATACCTCTTCCCCGTGTTTTCATACTAAACCAGTACAGAACCCCTTTAAACGGGACGAAGCCGAACAGACACTACAGTTTAACAACGTAACTCATGGAGTAAATCACAACCGAAGAGAAATAAACCGAGGTGAGCTTTATGGAGCCGGCGTTTGTGGAGATGCGCGAGCTGCTAGTGTGTTAGCTCGAGCCATTCATACTGATCTCAGTGAATCTTATCGCATATTGTAACAGCGGCTTTTGCCGAGAAAACACACATAATATTATACAAACAGGCCTGATTTGGTTATGTATGGTGCTTGTATGTGTATATCGCTGGCTTTGATATTTGTGCAAGGGTAGGAGGAGTCTTGACAGCTGATATTTATTTTTCTGTTCATATTTCCAGCTTTCGTGTTCGCGTTGATTTTTCATATTTATTAAGCAAGTGAAAATAATTATAAAAGGCATTTTATAATTCTAAAAATGTCTGCCTTCAGTTCATGGTGTGCAGTCTTTCGTTAATAATTTTTATGAAGTAAACGTAAGAATAACTTTTATATTCTTCGTAATATTTCAAGTCGAACATTTACTGGACTAAAGCAACTTATGTTTACTTGATTATCCATACTTAATTGGAAAATTCTATTAAGTCTCAAATTTTGCCATCCACAATAAAAACTACAGAGCTTTGATTATAAAACCATACTTAATAAGACATATTATTGGGAGATATATATTGGGGTTTTTTTTTCCTCCTCAAGTGTGAATTCCATATTCTCCTATATCATACTATTTGAGCCGTAAAAGCCTGATTTATCAAATATGATACAAAAAAAAAAACTATGCACATTTTTTGTTTAATAACTAATTTTAATTTTAAAAAATTAGACTTTTAAAATTTTAGGCTTTACAGGGTTAGCTTATATAACTTGTACTCTTTCAAAATATTTGTGGATCATTTAAATTAAGTGTTGCTAAGTTTGAAAATCTTTTATTAACATTGCTGATCACCATTTAAAATTGTGGCAACAGTTATGGAGTCACTATTATGTCATAATAGTGATACTGAATATCACGGCAGTATTACAACACTGAAAGTTGAAGTTTTTGTTGTTTTGTTAGTAAGTGAACAAGAATGATTTATTCACTCCAAACACTGTTCACAAACAGATCTAAGCTTACCAAATTCTTTATTAAAGGGTTAGTTCACCCAAAAATGAAAATTCTGTCATTAATTACTCACCCTCGTGTCGTTTCAAACCCGTAAGGCCTTCGTTCATCTTCGGAACACAAATGAAGATATTTTTGATATTGCTGTCTATGCAGGGTCAGACAGCTCTCAGATTCCATCAGAAATATCTTAATTTGTCTTCCGAAGATGAACGAAGGTCTTACGGGTTTGAAATGACATGAGGGTGAGTAATTAATGACAGAATTTTCATTTTTGGGTGAACTAACCCTTTAACATCATTCTTTTGCTTTAGCACTGGTGTTTTCTTTTTTTGGAAATGCAAAGGTAGATTGATCTTTTGGTTACTTAAGCACATCATAGCTATGATAACTAATAATAATCCTTTTCATTTTTCTTCTCTGCAGGTTGAGCTTTGCAGTCGTCCTGCATTCTACAAACTCTCACTGTGTCGTTCTCTCTCTTTCACGTACAACCCTTCTTTGTGAAGTTCTCTTCCTACCTGACTGCAAAGTCTATACCAGGTCATTCAAACAACCCACCTTCCTACCAGCCAATCAGAATGTCACAGCTTCAGTTTCAGGCGCCTGGCAACCCTGCACCCAGTGCTACCCCTTTACAGCTGGCCCTGCCCCAACCCGGGTTCAGCATTCCCTGTGCCACTGCTCCCTTACCCTCAGAGAGTGCCAGTCACCCGCTCCGAAACTCCGCTCTGCCTTCTGCCTCCGCCACACCCTTCTGCAACCCCACAGGTGGGTGAAGCATTGCTCTGAGCATTTTTAGACAAAAAGCATCATCTAGGACGTGACAATTCGTGCATTCGAATTCGTCAGTTATGCCCAGGCCCATATAGAAATCTCATATGGAAAGTTCTTAACATATTTCAATTCAGCAATAAAATCTGATAACAATGGTATAAAAAATTTATTTTTATCTCAGAACATGCTGAAAAAAATACACTACCATTCAAAATTTGTGGTCGTTAAGATGTGTTTTATTTTTTGAAAGAAATTAATATTTTTATTCAGCAAGAATGCATAACATTTATCAAACTTGACAGTAAATGCAAAATATTTCTATTTCAAATAAATACTTTTTAAACTTCCTTCCTATTCACCAAAAATATTAAGCAGCACAACGGTTTTCAATATCAGTAACAAAATTGGCAATAAAATCTGATAACAATGGTATAAAAATTTTATTTTTATCTCAAACATGCTGAAAAAATTAATGATTAAAATTAAAAATTTTATTCAGCCAGGATGCATATTATTGATCTTATTACAAAATATTTCTATTTCAAATAAATGCTGTTCTTTTTAACTTAATGTTCACTAAAAATATTAAGCAGCACAACTGTTATCAACATGAATGATAATAAGAAATGTTTCTTGATAAGCAAATCAGCATATTATATTAGAATGATTTCTGAAGGATCATGTGACACTGAAGACTGGAGTAATGATGCTGAAAATTCAGCTTTGCATCACAGGAATAAATTATATTTTAAAATATATTCAAATAGAAAATAGTTATTTTAAACTGTAATAATATTTCACAGTGTTACTGTTTTGCTCTATTTTTATCAAATAATTGCAGCCTTGGTGAGCATAAGAGTCTTTTTCAAAAACATAAAAAATAAATACATTTACTGACCCCGAACTTTCGAATAATCTGGGCCTGGCTATGCCCTGATAAGAAAAATAATTTCTTGGATTGTTAAAAAGTTTTAAAATATTTCCTTCTTGATTTAATCTTTTAATGTTGTCCTCTAGTATCTAACATGGCAAACCCTAAAGAGAAAACTCCTATGTGTCTGGTAAATGAGTTAGCCCGTTACAATAAGATCCAACCTGAATACAAGCTACTCAGTGAACAAGGGCCAGCCCACTCCAAGGTAAGACTTGGCGCTTTACTGTATACACACACACACACAAAACCATCTCTTCCCACCTGCCTGAACTTTCTGATGTTGTGGTGTGTTGGTCAGATTTTCTCAGTGCGGTTAACTCTGGGGGATCAGCACTGGGATGCAGAGGGGACCAGTATCAAAAAAGCCCAGCACTCAGCAGCAACATGTGCTCTCACCCAAACTACTCTCCCCAAACCCAGTCACAGAAGTCCCCGCCACCCAGGCAAGAACCCAGGTGGGATCTACAAGGGCTCAGAGTGTATGTGCAATTGTTCCCTTTATCTTCTTAATTGAAAATTTTCTCATCCTCACATTGTCAAAACCTGAATTGTATGAAAGCTTGTTTCCGCCACAGAATAAAAAAAGGTAATCTCACAATTCAGATTTTTCTCCCCTCAGAGTTGCAAGTGTATATCTTGCAATTCTGACTTTTTTTCCACAATTGCGAGGGAAAAAAGTTAGAATTGTGAAATAAAAAGTTACCTTTTTAATTTTTTTTAATTCCATGGCAGAAACTGAATTCCATAGAATTGGTCTGTCGAGCCTTAAAACGGGCAATTTTTTTTTTTTTTTTTTTCAAATTAGTCTGTATGACTTGTATTGCTTTATGCCGAGTTCACACTGCACGATTTTAGCCCGATTCACGCAGTGTGAAAACAAAGGCGATCCGACGAGTTTGAAAATCGTGCAGTGTGAACTCGGCATAAGACGCAGACGGTCAACACACAATCATCTTCATTAAAAGTAGTAAGACAAACTTATCTTTCCAGTGCTGATGCCGCGCGCTCTCCTATTGCGGTCTTTGGTCTTGAAATGAGCTGATAATTAATAAAATGCAGCGCTTATCTTTTGATTTCGTTGACGTGAACTAAATAAATTTAAATATAGCGCGGGAACTGAAGATCGGATTTAAATCCGTTTTGCGACGACACATTTATCTGGCCAAGTATAAATGGAAACGTTTTAGCAAATCAGATAAGTTAGATATCCGATCAGCGAAAACGCATGAAATGACCAGGTGTAAACAGGCCCTAA